GTTGAAAAACCTGCGATATGACTAACGGTGGTATCGAATTTGTTGATACTCCAGTTGTTACTGGGATTGGGCAATGAATATCTGAAGGCAGGTGTGCGTAGGTTCTTCAGTAGGCTGAAAGCTTCAACATTAACAAGAAATTCGGAAGATTAGTCACCTAAGTGGTTGGAAGCCTAGTCTATGTGCACCACCAATCTATGGTCAATTTTTATTTTGTAGGGGCGAAGCTCCTTAGTGTGCGTGGGTCATTTGCTCCTTCGTTTTTATGTAGTATGTTATATATATAGTATGTATTTAGCCACCTCTAGTTTATTATTTGCTCAATAGATGGTGTTGTGTGTATATGTCCTTGGTCATGCGTGGCCAAATGTGGTCATGTGGCCGAAGTAATCTTTCTAGGGGACATGAACACTCGCATACTTTAGTGGATAGTCGGAGATCAATGGCAGGTTATTCCAAGATCTCTGCGAGCCCCATTGTCTTGAGATAGTTATTGTGGGGCCTAACAGTGAGGGGCAGATTACGTGGAATTTCGGACACAGGCAATCGATCATTAATTATTGTCTTATGGCAGAAATAATCAATAACAAACTTAGAGAGATGAGAACAGACGATGAAGGCATTACAAGCTTGGGTAGTGACAATAAACGCATAACATTACAAATGTGTTATGAAACTAAAATAGGAAAACAGCGTTAAGGTTTGGAAACTTGTATTTAAGTGACGCACAAATAACAAATATAGCTGCAAGAGTCGAGCACTAAATAACAAAACTACCGGGCTAACACTGGGAGTATAGAGATCTTTTACATGTAGTTACGACAGAAATTGAAAAACAGAAGTAAGCTATGGACTGGAAAGGAAAGAGACAGCCTAATTGTTGGAGGAAGAGAGAAATTCAAGAATTCGATCGAGAAGCGATGCGAAGCATAACGAGAGCGCAGACAGGCAAAAATGGAGAGGAGGCACAGGATGAAGTCAACCAAATTTAGAAAATATACTTATAGCAAAAAAACGATTGTGCAGCAATTGGTCGAGGCAAACTTTAAAGTTGAAAGTAATACTACTACTACTACTACTACTACTACTACTACTAATAATATAATAATAATAATAATAATAATAATAATAATAATAATAGCTTCTTTATTAGCCCCAACGATGGAAGACACTGCAGGTAAAAGTTGCTTAAGACACAAGCTACTGGACAAAAGGCCCACAGCCACCTCTACAATGCAGCAGCGACAACACACCTGATGACACAGAAATAAAAAAATTACTCTTAATTCATACATGAACAGTTACATCAGCATCACTATTGTTTACTATCTGAGCCTAAATTGATGAAATAATTACGCGATGTTCGTATAGAAATAAATGGCATTTCTATGTGTGATTTAGGACATGAGTTCAAAAGGTTTGGTAATGTGCAAGAGCTTCACTGCATAGAGTAATTTTTGCGCGCAGTCACCACTTTCCACTGTTCTGTCTGACGAGTGCTACATGAATGTGTGTTTTTTGCTAGATTAGATAGCTCATGGAAGAACTTTGTTTTCTTTTATTTCGCATTTCAACGCTAGATTTAACTTAAAACTATAAAGGTTAAACACGCGAATTCTATTTGCATTCTAAAATACATCTGAAGTGTCAGAGTTATATCGCACATTGAAAACAGATCGTAAAATCTTTTTTTCTGTAGTATCTGAAGTCTTTCAAGGCTAGTTTGTGTCATCTTACCCCATATAAAAAAACAATAGTATAAGGAAGAATAAAAGAGTGTGTTGTAGACAAGAAGCTTTATTTTAAAGGGTAACATACACCTGTGACGTGCCATCATAACAACTACTCGAGATAACTTAACTAAAACTGATTACACGTGTAGACCTCAAAGCACGATTTGTGTAAAGGTGACTCCCAGTATTCTAAATATTTACTATTTCAATTTTTTTCAAGTGCCTAGAGAAGGGCGATGGTATTGCAGCTTAGTTGCTTAGATTTTGGCCTGAAAATCACGGCGTTCGTCTTTTTTGTTATAATTTGACGAACGTTTGCCACTGAAAATTCTTGAAGGGTTTTAGACAGGCATTGGCTTTGTTCTGAAGGCTACTGAGTTCAGGTGAGGAAAAAAATAAGATTGTGTCGTCAGCGTACATGTCGTATTTTGAATCAGCGTATATATTTACTGAGTCATTTATGTAAGCGATAAAGAAAAATGGCCCGAGAATACTGCCCTCAGGAACGCCTCTACTGATGTGTTTCAGATCCGAGCAGCAATCTTCAACATAATAACGATGACAAAGGTAAGACTTCACAAGGTTTATACTGTGCCCACGAACACCACAATTTTCAAGCTTTCTGAGTAATATCGAATGATGAATTCAATCAAATGTTTTAGGAAAATCACTGTCAAGGCCGAGCACAAGATTTGTGCTTTCGAATTGTGATAAAGAAAATTCCTTTTGCTGAAGTAGGGCTAGTTCAGTGAACAAGCGTTTCCTAAATCGAAATTGGGCTATAGAGATAAGATTATGCTTATCAAAAATCTTAGACATTTGCACGTATATAAGCCCTTTGGATAATAGTCGTAATATTGCAATAGGTCTATATTTTTTATATTGTTTACGTCCCTTCGCTTATAAAGTGCTGAAACGTTTGTAATCTGCATCCTCTTGGAGAAGATAGCGCTCGCCAAAGACAGCCCACAAATGTGGGTGATATATGGACAAAGAATATCAAGCACATACTTGATTGTACGAACCTGCATGTCGTCAAGATCACAGCTTGGGCTATTCTTAAGCGAACGAAAACCAGATAGTACTTCAGACTCTATAAATAGATGAAGGAAAAAGGAGGATGCATTGCTGTCTGGCGTAAATTTTGAGTGATCAGCAGATTAGAAAGCGTCAGTGTCGCTCACAAATAATCATTAAATTTATTTGCCAAAATATTACCCAATATTTTGAAGCCATTCATAAGTAGCTTTTCTACACGTGGAGATAATTTAGGCGATTTAAGAAAATATGTGCATTTAGTGTATTGAACATTGATGCATTGATTTACGGCGATTTAAAAATATATGTGCATTCAGTGCATCGAATATATGCACATATAATCCATGCACTGAGGATATATGTATACGTATCTACATATATGAAAGCGCAAGTATCCTGAAAAAGACTCCGGCACGCGAATTCGAACAGCGAACCTCCGAGTCATGAATGCGAGGCGTTAACCACTGAGCCATAGAGCAGCACGTCGTTCTCTGTTTAAACGGCAAGCTGTTTATATCTACCACTTACCGCTCGTTGTGGGACTCTCGGCGGGGAGGGGGGGGGGACTATCACGTTTTAGAATCACCAACAAGATGGCGCTATGAGTGTGCGGCGGCGCGCGTTCTCCCACGTGTTATTTGCGCCTTGAATGGAGAAGGCGGACGCACGCTCGCGCGCCCTTATCTTGCGGTGGGGACAATCGTATGCCTTGTAGGCGCTGCGCCGTGCTCCCTACCGGGCTGCAGAAATTGGGCGCCTTCTTGCTTTTCTAACCACTACCACCACCACGTCTTGGCTGGCGTTGGACTTTCCCTAGAACGCTTCTGTTTCAATTACCGGGCGCGCAAAGCTCCCTGCGATCGTTGCGCAGTCTCCATTTGCGAAAAGGGCGAGATTTTCAGACGCAGCGAAGTAACAATTGAGACACTTATTCGCGTTCATCTGTACCTGTGATTATGCTTTGTGCGTCATTTGTGCGAGAGAAACGCGGGGCAAATTTTGATCTGCTTGCCATTCGGCGCGTGATCTTACAATTTGTTGCTATCGCGTTGATTGATTCGCCTTTGCGGCAAAGCTGTGACTTTCTAGCCTAAACATTCATTGGCTCCTTGAGCTTAGCCTTATCGCGCTCCATAACCTGTTTACTTTTGTGTCTTACACCTACCGTGCAGCATCAACGCGATGCTCTTATTCGGAGAAGAGGGAACAATGCCACTGCAGTACACCACATCCTGTGCGACTGTCCGTTGTATGACATTTAGAGACAGTCACTGGCGTCCGTTCTTGCGCGCACCGACAACAGCCGAATGTCTGTGGACACTGTTCTTTTAAGTGCCCGAGCGAAGGCACTGCAACAGAAGGCCGGCAAAAGCACTGTTGAAATTCCTACACGACACGGACTTGAACAAACGGCTGTAACAGCAATGTCACGCACCACGAAAGACAAGACAGGACTATGACTGAGTGTGCGCGCGTGTGCTGGCTAATGCGCTGTGTTTATCTTCTTCCCTCTATCCTCTCTATCTTTCATCTCCCTATCCTCTCCCCAAGTGCAGGGTTGCAAACCAGCTGTCAATAGGCTGCTTAACCTCCGTGCCGTTCTCTTCCTGCTATTTACCTTCCTTCCACCTTTTTTTAAGGATAGGAGCATTTCCGTATTTCTTGGATGTTCACGAGAATACTAAAGCCGACGTAACATCCTCAGCAGTGCATTTATGGGGTGGTCACGCGCACTGACAACAGCCCAGAGAGGACTCTGGTGGCACCGAGGGAGCCTTCAGTGATAAGGTCTATGGTGGGTCACATGCTTATCCAGAGGCAAAAGACACACAGGAAGAGCACGAGCTATCCGTCTTTCGAGAGTACGCCCATGCGACGCGTCTGGCAAGAGTGCTGCTTCTCTACATCTACGTCCAATAAACCTCACCAGGACCTTCAAACGGACGTGACAATATGTTCAAAGTAAATAAGGCATTAGGCTAACTAAAAAAAAGAAAACTTTCTTTTAGTTTTTTTTTTCATTTCGAGCCTGGTGGCACACACGTCATCTCCCATTAAAAAGACGACGCTCATAGCATCTATCTATTCGTTCAGGCACCCATGGCTCACTGGTTTGTGTTTGACCGATGTGTTATGATTTTTTCTTAGTATTGAGCACTTATTGCCTGTATAAAGCTTAAGAAACAGACTTTGAAGTTATGAAAATTGTATACTGGCTTTTTGTTTCGCAGGCCCGTATCCGTATCCATATGTGGTAAGTAAATGTGACATAACAGCTACAGTAAATGAGTTTCACGTGATTTTTAAAAAAAACGATTGTGTGCCTTTCGACAGCTCTCTGTTTAGTGCTCCACTTTTCAAGTACGATTTACATAGAATGCCGAGGCTCTCTGCAATGAAGAGGAGTAAACATGAGGGCAACTTTATTATTTCATACCGCAATATATACACTGCAAAGCAGCAACTGGCACAAAGAATTCCAAGGAAGTAGGAAATGAGCGTATTGGCACGCATTTTTGTTTTATGCCCTAATTCAGGGACCTACTAAAAGGAAGAAATGTATTAAGTAAGAGTGGCTATAGTCAAAGCTTTTTTATATTCTAATGTAATTAGAATGTAAAATGGCAAATCGATTCACTGTATATTTTCACTATCCAATATAATCTACATAAATAAACTTCATAAAAAATTTTGATATCACCGCAAGAAATCATGTACCTGATTCCGAAGAGCAATGCGAAAATAGGCGAACTAGTTTCAGTCCGCATTAGCCACTGGCTCTGGCGAAGTAGTTTTCCAGCCGTGGTTCGTGCCACTGGGAGTGGCTGTAGCAGTTGTGAGAGCACGGTATTGTGTACTACGCAGACAACGTCTTCGCGACCCAGTGCCGAAATTGTATTCGACAACACCCGCGCAAGAAATGAAAACCGTTGTAGAAGAATGTCTATCGTTAGAAAAACCAGCAATATCATGGATTAACTTTGGGTTAAACACCTGCAATGAACACTTTGTGGATCAATCGCTACTGCTGCTGCCGATTCGAAAAGCATGCTAAAATGCTGAAACAATGTTACAGGCGCGCTAAAACAGTGTTAGGTCATTGGCACCAGTGTGTTCAGTGTCCAGTTGTAGTTGTCTTGGATGATTAATTGTGCAACAGTTTCGCTGTGCCCCAAATGTGTCATGCAGCTGACCATTATACGTGGCAACACCTACTGCCTGCATATGGTTTACGTAGGGTAGTGTTGCACAAGCCTTAATTTTCCGTATATTATTCGCCGAATAGGAAACTTAGTTATCATTGACTGGGCAGACTTTGTTTAGTTGCAAGAGTTGCTAGTTGTATTTTTTGTAATCTCCAATATTGAAACTCTACTGTTCTATTGAGTGATGGTTATTTTGCGAATTATTGTTGAATTCGTAAATTTCATACGCGCACACCCCTAATAACGCAGGAAGGAAAGAATGCCCCTTTGTCATTTACTTGCTTCGCGCTTTGCTCCTGGCATTTCTTCCACAACGTTGTTGCATTTCAGGACGGACTTACCTGTACGGCACATTTAAATACTTCTCAACCTCACATCAATTAGAGCAACCGACAGCGCATGAGTACGAATAAGCCCAGCTTGTTTTCATTTTATGGAGCATAATGGCAGCGCGGCTGTTCCTCTACGTATATTTATCCACTCTCCTCGCCGCGGACTATAGTAATACTGCGGCGAACAGTAAAATTATGCCATAACATTTGTACCATATAGGCCGAACGCGGGAAACGGAAATATTTGGAATATGGTATACTTACAAAGAGGCTTCATCTTCAATTGAGGATGACGCAGCGAGCGATGCAAAGAGAAATGATATGTGTAACTTTAAAAGACGAGAAGAGAGAAGAATGGGTCAGAGATCACACGGGGCTTATGGATATCGTAGTCGAAATCAAAAAGAAATGGACATGGAACGGCCGCAAAGCACGCAGGCAGGATACCCGCTGGCCATTTAGGGTAACTGACTGGATTCCCGGAAAAGGCAAGTGGGTGAGCGGAGACAGAAAGTTAGGTGGGCAGATGAGAATAGAAAGTTTTGAGTGTAAAGGGGCAGCAGCAAGCACAGGACTGAGTTGACTGGTGGAGCATGGGAGAGGCCTTTGCCCTGCAGTGGGGGCGTGAGGACATGTGAAACTTATACAGTGCTGAAGAATGGACACGTTCTATGCTACCATAGATTAGTTGGCAGGAAAGAGCTAGGAGTGGGGTTCCTCATACACAAACATATCGCTGGCAACATAAAAGAATACTATAGCATCAGTTAGAGGGTGACAAGTATCATAATTAGATTTACAAAAGGTACAAGATGAAAGTGGTAAAGGCCTACACGCCTTCATCGAGCCATGATGATCATTTTGTTGAGTGCTTTTATGAAAATGTAGAGTCAGCCATTAATAAATTAAAGACACAGTATTCTATTCTTATGGGCGAGTTTATTGCCAAAACAGGCAAGAAACAGGCCGGGGACCATGGGGGGGGGGGGGATATCACATCGGCTCTAGAAATGCCAGAGGGTAGTTATTAGTAGAGTTCGCAGAACGTGATAATTTATGAATTATGAATACCTTCTTTAAAAAAACGGGCTAACCGTAAAAGGTCGTGGCGATGTCCTAATGGTGATACTAAAAATGAAATTGACTTCATTATGTGTGCACACTCAGACATTGTACAGGATGTAGAAATAGTTGGCAAGATTAGATGCAGTGACTATAGAATTGTAAGAGCTCGTATTAACCTTCATGTAAAAAAGCAAGGACAAATATGCCTTGACCAGTTGTCATGGCGTGGAGCAAATATCTCTTGATTTTCCCTGGAGTTTATTTGTCGTTTTCTTCTTTATCCTTTGTTTTACCTTTCCAAATACTTATTGCCTGTATTGTTCTCATGAAAAACTTTCAGAGATCTGACATTGAAAAGCGGGCTTCATCCGAACATGGAATTCAGTTGAAAAGTAAGTTTCTTACTTCTCACCACTCATTTCTCACAACGAATACACAACTGGTATGGAGATATTGTTGCCAACCCGAAGTGATATCAAAATATTTCGTTTATCCAAACTTCCGAAAAGGTTGAGCAAATTTAATGTTGAAGTTTCACTGGAGCCGTAAATATTAACCCCTGATTTACTACCAGCGCGATAAACAGTCTCTTATGATCGAACCGTTGAATAAAGCAAACCGAGGCTCCGTATTATGCCTGGAACACGTTTTCTTACAGTATGATAGTTGATATCATTCGTGTAGGCCTTGCCTAGATAACAATCCCCATTAAACGTTAAGCAGATATTGCGCTTTTGCCCACAACGCAGTATAGGGAAATTTAAAGTGCGCTAAAAACGAGACACGAAAACAAAGTGTAAAAGACGATCGCACTTTATCCTCGTGTCTTGTTTTTAGCGCAATTATAATTTTCCTAGATGTTTTACTAACTAACCCCCATCGTGCGCTTCTCCAATGCATATAGGATGATTCACTGAGAGTTTTGGGCTCGTGCTACAAAATATAATTATTAAAAATTACTTCGGAGTCGCATATTCTTGGCATGTTTCTCATGACATCAATTCCCATGCTACGTGGGATCCGCCTCAATTTTTCACATGTCGACTGAAACAATCGATATTTTCTTCTTTTCGCAAACGTTTTGGAATTACGAAACAATTTGGCCGCAGTAAAACAACTTCCTCTTACTGTTACTGCGGTATAAAAGCTTAACCTAAGAAATCGTGGCTTGGTGGAGGAAATGCGTAAATAGCTGGGCACTGCTTTCTGTAGTAGAACCCAAGCAACAATGCTGTCTCAATTGTGAAGTTGCAAACGCCAGTTCATCCTCACGATGTCAAGTCAGACCGGAACAGCTCGAAGCTCTCCCTCAGTACAGAACATCGTGCTCTAAATCAGCAATATATATATATATATATATATATATATATATATATATATGAAATCTAACACACAATAATGCCAAGGAAAGTATAGGGGAGGTTATTACACCGAATTGTAAGGTAAGTGTGAAGGAAGAAAGTGCGTGAAAAGATAACTTGCAGTGGGCAGGTACCATAAGTTATTTTTTCGCCCACTTTTCTTTTTTCACATTTACCTTACGATTCAATCTAACAACCTCCTCCATACTTTCCATGGCTATATTGTCTGTTAGATTTCATTAATATTGTGTCAGAAAACAAAAACACGAGCCCCTAAGAGTGCACTTCTTTCCATTTAGCATATATATATATATATATATATATATATGTGTGTGTGTGTGTGTGTGTGTGTGTGTGTGTGTGTGTGTGTGTGTGTGTGTGTGTGTGTGTGTGTGTGTGTGTGTGTGTGTGTGTGTGTGTGTGTTTGCCGTATGAAGGCATGGCAGAAGAACTCTGGGAAGAAGTGAGAATGTAATAAACATGGCGTATAAGGCAGGCCACGTCTCCCGCATCATAGCGTCACTCGAGTCGACAGGATGAAGACCTGGCAGCCACTTCATCAAGTGGCCATTATCATCGAACACCTCAGCAAGATAAAGTGGCCGAACGTGGACCACACAAATTCATCCCAACTCTACACCAAGACCAGCATCATGACAGCACCATCAACAGACCTTGACATCCCCAAGTACACTGGATCATCAGACGATTACCCATACAGGACTGGTTCAAACCCTTTCGAGCTCCATGCCACCGCTGCATCCTGGTCGGAACGGGAGATGGTCCCAACCTACACCGACTAAATCACGGGTGAGGCATTCAAATTTTACCTCACTCACATCTTCGAGAACGATGAGTCTTAGAAAAAGATTAAAGAAGAAATGATCACCCGTTTCAAATAATACAATAAAGATCTTTCAACACCGCATCAGCGGAAGGGTTTTCAATTCACCTGTCACAGTTATGCGAAGTCTTCCCACAGTAAGCCTATTTTCCAAACAAGACATCAGAGAAAATATACCATCGTTGTACCATCGTATCACTTTTCCCAAAAAACGTCATGCATTCGAACACCGACTGGTAACTTGCACGTCGCAACAAAAAAGGTAAAGCCTCCATATACTGAAAGGAATCGAGCATTTCGCCAAAAGACTGAACCTAAAACGGGCTTTCCCAATAGCAATAAAATCGGCATTCTTAACATGTTCACTGCACCACAACACTTCAGATGTCACTGAACCACCCGAATAACTTGATGCTTCTTGTCACACACAAGTCCCCGACGGTTTCGAACGTGTGAAGACATTTACACGTGACGAGCTGGTGAATCCTCACAATACCAGTCGTTCAGGACCAGAGTGATGTTCCCGACCAGAGTCTTTCAACAGAAATTCTCAGCCTAATCATGCTGCAAAAAAAAAAATCATACGCAATAAGAACCACCCAAAGCCATGTCTGCTGTGCTCTCATCGTCAAGTGATAACACACATGCGAGTCGAAGCACGGCAGAAATTTCGAATCCACTAACGCTGGCACCTTCTCCACTGACAAAAGCATTTGCAATCAATGATTACTCACAACAATCTTGGGAGCTTTCTCATCAGTCTGTCATGCTGCTTTCATCGCAAGACAAGCCCAGCAGTAGACTATCGACTACCGACTATCTACTGATCACTTCATCGCGCAAACAAAAGTACACTCATGTTCCTGAAATATGCATCTGACCAACTTTCGCAAGAAAACGAGTAATTTCAACAAAGGCAACTCCACGAACTCCAGGCACTACAGCGCTTACTCAAATGTAACCAGAAAACAAGCGTAACCTCAACACGAGTACACATGTGGCTTAATCGGAGACAACACTAATTTAAGAAGCAAACAAAAAGTCAATGCCTAAACCATCTTAACAGAAAGCAACGCCGACAAAGTTTTGTGCACCAGTTCTCAAGGCCGTGTCTACGATTCAACAAACTGTCACAGAAAGATACGAAAGAGACATGCAGCTACCGCGAATACAATGAAGAAATACATGCATCCCATAATCAGCTGCGGTTCTCGCACATGCAGGCAGCATGCACTCGTCCTGTCTCAGCCACCCCACAGAAAGCAGCGTCTACGACGGAGAACTCGGTGGCTACGACATCCGACCCTCAAAGGCTACAAGGACATCCCCCGTGTTCATTCCTCGCAAGAATTGGTGTGTCATCAGTTTTTTCTACCTTCAGGCCGTGCTTCTGTTGGCCAGAACACAACAGTGAACCTCACCCACCAGAGTTGTTACAGCATTCACCGGACTGCTCCCCCGGCCTTGAAGCTTTAGTGAGATTGTAAAACTCCGTCAGGATGTGAAACTGCGAATTCGGGCATTTTGTTTATTCTCTTCTTGAATTTGTTCAAGTTTTTAACCAGTGTCATCTTTCGGGGGGAGGGAGAATCATGTGACGTATAAAGGCATGGTAGGAGAAGCCGAGGAAGAAGAAGTAAGAAGGGAATAAACACGGTGTATGAGCCAAGCCACGTCTCCCGCATCATAGCGTCCCCTATATATATATATAGAAAATATATATATACATATATATATATATATATCAACTTCACCTTCATTGCAGCCCCACACCACAAGCTGCTTTCAGGAATGTGAATCGGCTTTCTTTTGACATGTTGAAGCCCTCACAACCGACCCTGTACTTGCCCATTTTCACGATGCACCAACTCTTCTACACACAGACACCCAGAGCCGTGGTTTAGGCGCCGTTCTTCTACAACTCGACAAAGCCTCGCGAGAGCGTGTCACTGCATACGCCAGCCGCGTGCAATTCACAGTCGAGGGGTACGATACGATCACCGAGCAGGAGTGTCTGGCCGTCATTTGGTCAGTGCAGACGTTTTACCAGTATTTTCATGACCCCCACTTTACCATTGTAACCGACCACCACGCGCCACACTGGCTTTCTACACTCAAGAACTTGTCTGGACACCTCGGCTGATGAATTCTACGCCTTCAAGAGTATGACTTCGACATCACATACAAGTGTGGCAAAAACCAGTATCTATATATATATATATATATATATATATATATATATATATATATATATATATATATATATATATATATATATATATATATATAAAGTGTGAATAGACTTTATAAGCGACCCCAAACCATCCACCGCCGTCGGCGGCGTCCGCAGTCTTCTCTCTCTCTATATATATATATATACATATATATATATATATATATATATATATATATATATATATATATATATATATATATATATATATATATATATATATATCGGTGTAAGTAACGCGCCTTATATCAAGATGGTAGCGTTGCCTCCGGGAGAGAGAGAGAGAGAGAGAGAGAGAGAGAGAGAGATTAATGAAAGAGGAAGAGACAAAAAGGACGCTATTTTCTGCCTCCCGTCGCGGGGGCACGGCTCAGCGCCTATGCCTCCGGGACATCCATCGCACGACCCGCTCTCGACGGGAGACTGAGAGGGAAGTCGGGCGCGCGAGAGAGAGGGGTGCGCGCGCAGCTGCAGCGAGCGAGGAGAGCGGAGGAGCGACACCGATATCAGCGTCGCGTCCGTGACTGAGCGTCGGTAGAGCGTCGCGCTGCGGCCCGCCAGGTCCTCTTTCTTTTAAAGATAGAGAGAAGACTGGGACGCCGCTGACGATGGTGGATGGTTTGGGGTCGCTTATAAAGTGTATTCACACTTAAAAAAACATCGAGACGCCGACCGTGTTTCTCACTGCCCACTACCCACTACCCCGCTCAGCGTTTTTCATCTACTGTGCAGGAGAAACACTCGAGCTCTACTTCCACATTGGTTAAATCTCTGGCCGCTATAGACGAGCTTCCTTTCCAGCAAGACTTTCCCTACAGTCAGCTGGCGGACCCGTACTGTCGGCGTAACATACGCTACATCGCTGGTGATTTCCGTCCGCCTAACGCAAGGCTCCGTCACCAACTCTCGCAATTTAAGCTGGACAATTCGGTTCCGTAGCGCCGCATTTACCATCCTGACGGTCAGCGCTGGGTTCCCGTTCAACCACGTTCTCTTAGCTCCCGCATCCTCAGAACATTTCCTGAGGATTCCACTGTTGGTAACATTGGTTATAATAAAACGCACGGCCACATTTCAAGTCGTTTTTATTGGCTGGGCATTACCACAAGCGTTGCCAGGTACGTCGGCTCCAGCACTATCTGCCAATGTTTAAAACTCCCAACATCTGTTCCTGCCGGTGCACTGCAGCCTCTTCCGTGCCCAACGACATCCTTTTAAGTTGTAGGCGTTGATCTTTACGGCCCCCTCTCAGTCAGTTCCGCTGGCAACTGGTGAGTAGAGGCATCCGTTGATCATTTAACGCGCTACGCCGAGACGGCACCTGGAAACACTACTTCAGCTTCTAAAGTTGCTGAATTCGTTTTCAAAGCTTTTATACTGAGCCAGGGTTCTCCAAGTGTTATTATCAGTGACCGTAGAAAAGCATTTCTCTTTCAAGTAGTCAACGAACTTCTCCACGCCTTTGGCACAACTCATAAGACCAGTTGAAGTTAACTAACGGCCTGACTGAGAGATTCAATGACACTCTTGCCGACATAATCGCAACCTGTATTCAATGAGATCACAAAAACTAGCAAGTCGTCTTACCGTTCGTAACTTTCACCTATAATGCAGCCATTCAGCGGGCAACAGGCTGCTCACCATTTTAACTGGTTTACGGCCGTTCCCTGCTTCCTTTCTGGATGTTTCTTTACGTCCAACGTAAACCCATCCGCATCTGATCCCGAGAAATACGTGTCACGACTCGCCCAGTGTCGCCAACGTGCTCGCATGAATACCAAAGCCAGGCAGAACTATTGAAAGACTGCTTATGATGAATCACATCATACCGTATCCTTGAGATGAGGTGCTCCTGTTGACACCTGCACACCTCTTCGCACACCTGGTTTGAGTGATACATTTCAGCCATGGTTTATCGGGCCATACACTTTTCTAGAGGAAACTTCACCTGTGAATTATTGCGTGACGCCCCTTGTAGCTCCAGCAGACCGCCATTTTCGAAGTGCTGAACTTGTGCACGATTCTTGCATGAAGCCCTTTATGCGACTCTCCTCGTCTCCTTGACCAACTACGGCCAGGCTGGCCACATTTACGTAGGGGTATTTAGAAAGTAAGGAAGGAAGAGCCTAGAAATGGTGGCACACACTCACGCTGGGAAATCGGCCAAGAACCGGGTAGATTTTGCGAAATCTCGTTAAATTGTTAACTGAAGTTTTTGTCGTTAAACCCCACATGTCAATCAAGTCGATGAGGCTAACCACAAGAATAGTTAGGTTTACGTAATCTAGTGTTGAGCCTTCAAACGCTGAACTCGTGCTTTGGCTCATGGCTGCTATGGCTGCTATGGAGGTTCTGGTCAACCATGTTGGATAATTATAAAGACAACTGTAGATGCTCCGGCAAGTGCCAGTCTCTAAAATCAAGCAAACAGGTGTGCGTTTGTCATCGTCATCATCATCAGCTTGACTACGTTCATAGCAGAACAAAGCATCTTCCATGAACCGCCAATCAGCCCGGTTTCGTGGTTTCCGTTGCCACGCTATGCCTGCGAACTTTTTAATATCATCGGGCCACCTAACCTTTGGTCTCCCCTTCGTGTGTTTGCCTTCTCTGGGAATCCAATCAGTTATCCTTAACGACCAGCGGTTATCCTGCCTACGAGCTACAGCCCGGCCTATGTCTATTCCTTCTTGATTTCAACTATAATATCCTTGACCCCCGTTTCTTCCTGATCCACTCTGCTATCTTTTTGTCTCCTAAGATTACACCTATCATTTTTCTTTCCATGGCGCTCTGCGTCGTTCGCAATTTAAGCTGAACCCTCTTTGGAGGCCTCCTGGTTTCTGCTCTGTAAGTAAGTACTGGTAAGACACAGCTGTGATATACATTTCTCTTGATGGTATGTGGTGGATTTTCAATTTTGATTTAGGAATGACTGCCGGATGTGATACACCCCATCATTATTGCTCTAGTTATTTCACCCTGATGGTTTGCCTCTGCGGTTTCTACCTGTCCTAAGTACACATATTCTTTTATAACTTCTAGCGTCTCTCTACCTATCACAAAATGCTGTTTTCTGGCGAGACTGTTGCGCATTACTGTAGTTGCGTGCATAGTAATGTTGAGGCCTACTTGTTCTCCTTTCTGCGTCCAGTTCAGTAATCATGAGCTCATGAGTAATCATTCCTCCCCTGAATTACTCAAGGCAACGTCATCAGTGAATCGCAGGTTACTAAGATACACTTCATTAACTTTTACCCCTAACACTATCTAATCGAGAATCCTGAAAACGTCCTGTAAACACGCGATGAATAGAATTGGTGAGATCGTGTCTCCCTGCCTTACACCCTTCTTTATTGGGATTTTGTCGGTTTTTTCTACAAGTGTATGATGGTTGTGTATCCACTGTAGAATTCTTCCAGCACTTTTATGTAGGGTTATTCGAGTCCCCTCTTGTTTACTAACGCTGGAAATAATGTCTTCCTTTTTTCAGTTTGGCCTGAATGGTCAAGTTCTGGCCGTGGTGGCTGCACTTTTAAAGATGCGGAAGTGGTATAGGCCCCCCATGTGCAAGAGTTCGGTGTAGGTTAAATAAACACAGATTGTCAAAATTTCCGGATCCGTTTACCATGGTTTCTCTCATAATCACATCGTGCTTTTCAGATGTTACACCTCAACAATAGTAAAAAACTAATTTTTTCAGCTGCAAGAACGACAAATTCTAACTTTTCTGCCACGTTCATTTGTACCCAAAGTGTGATATATTAGTCTGTCTTTCACGTCTCCCACGATTTCGTTATGATTTCGTTGAATATTTTAATTTTTTTTATTTTCGCGGCACTACTCATTAAAATGGCTCTGCTCGACCTCATGGTAACGCAACTGTAAGAAACAAACACAAACCTAACGCACTGTTCACAATTTCAGGTGAACCAAACGGGTGCCCGGACTTTGCTGCCTGCAACTAGAGGTGCAAAAGCTTTGGCTCGTATGGAAAATGCGGAGAAGTGGAGCAAATGACCTGCATCTGTGGAAGTCTGCGTTCTAGAGAGATGACTACATTGGTCTCCCGCAAACCACCGCCGATTTCGCAGGGAATCCGGCCGACGGTTAGTAGTATAAATGAGGACCGTCGCCAAAGCCTTCTCACAATCCTTCCAGACAGATCCAAATAAACGTTATCTCTCTTTCTCACTCATTGTTTCACCAAAATATATTGCACCCTATTGCACGAAGAACAATAACGAGGGCACCGCGTCATTCGTTCTGATGTGAATGCACCTTTTTAAAATCAAAGGATTTGTTTGCGTATTTCAAGCACTTTTAACACACACACACACACACACACACACACATATATATATATATATATATATATATATATATATATATATATATACATATGCTCCTCGGGGTAAATCAAAATAATTAAGGGAGCCCCATCGTGGTGGTCTCGTGCGTAAGTGACTCGGCTGCTGATCCACAGGTCGCGGGGTCGAATCCCGGCAGCGGTGGCTGCATTTTCAATAGAGGCGAAAATGCCGTTGACCCGTGCGGTCAGATTTAAGTGCATGTTAAAAAACTCAGGTGGTCGAAATTTCCGGAGCCCTGCACTACGGCGTCTTTCATAACCATAAGGTGGTTTTGGGACGTTAAACCACACATCTCAATTTATGAATCAGAAGTACGGGCTGCGAAAATGAATTTTGAAGCGCCTGTAGCCTGCCTTAAATGTTCTTTGCTTTACTTAGCCCAGCGGCCTCCGAGATTAGCTCCGGTCAAGCTGCCTTCCACAGAGCAGGGGCAGAGCACACCACCGAGACTGGGTGTAAAGTACTTGGCCCCTCTTCTTTTTCTTCACCGTCTGCTCGCTCTCCAAGCACGTACTCACGGCGTATAAATAATTAGCGACATTGTAGGTATATCTATTGAGCCGTGACACGTAATTTAGGCAAACTTATTCTCAAGTCAACCTAATTAGGCTGGTTTTTCTTATTGGCGTAATATTAAGTCATTTCAAGCTAAAACTGAGCCAAATTATATTATGCTATGAGGACCCTAACTTAAAGCAACCTGATTGACACAAAGCTAGACAGTACCTTAAAAATGAACTAAAAGCATACCAATATAAATTTGTAACGGGTAATTCAATTTTGTTTCACGCGAATCAAATATTACTGTGTAAGTCTGTATAAGGCTTCTTTTATGGATAACATAAGAATTGGGAAAAAAATACCTAAAATGACATTCCAATATGAATATAAACAGACCAATGTAAATATCTCTAAAAAACCTAAACCATGCTGACGCGAACTTCACTTTGAAGCAGACAGAGCAGATCGGCTAACAGAACGAGAACCGTAATGTGATCGAGCATGTCATCTGTAAAATCTCTCGCTGTGTACACGCCAACACGCCGACAAATAACCGCATTGTCACACCGAAGAGGAGGTCCACTACACGGCGCCTTCGGTTTGCGCAAACGAGAACACCGTTCAGTAATAATGACGGAAAACGCCATGCCCGTGTCTACCAATACTTCAGTGCATACACCTTCAATAAATACTATCAGTGCCTTTGAGGGCCGCTGCAGAAGAAATTGACTGTGCCCGAAACATGCAGCTATCTCTTCCAAAGCTGCACTGCTTAGTTTTTCGGGCCATGGACTGGGGTCAAGGCAGCTGTTCGAAGGAGCCAAGAGGGTTGGCGCATCGGAGAAGGTGAGTGGCGACGCAGGGAAGCAGGATGTACCGGCTCTTTCGTGGCTCCGCGGATATGGAGAGCGTTGTTCATACCATCGGTAAGGGTGGCTGTTTCGGCGTGTTGGACCAGGCAGACCATCTCATTCATTGTAGTCATAACCCCGTCTTTTCTCCTGTGGGCAGCGTTGGCTAAACCAGGAAATTTGGCCATGAGTGGTACCGGCATTGATACCCAGCACCCCCACAATTCGTAAGACAACATTCATTCCTCAATACTCCTCTTTCCAGCCAGAGACCCTCTGCCTAAACCGGAGCTCTGGTGATGAGTAGTTACAAGTGAGAAAAGGTATATTATGCGTAGTTCTCACATTATGAATGATTCACCTAATGGCACCTCATCAAAGATTAGGCTTTATCATAGATTCGTACAGTACAATATCATCAATGAGTGATGATATCATACTCATTTGATGATATTGTACTGTGCGAGTTCATTTATTCTGCAAAAGATCATCACCGTTATTTACAATCGCTCATTTCTTTCAGCGCTTAGTGCAAAAAATGGCTTACAAACGCCAAATGCATCAAAAAAGTCGTCATGTCACGTTGACGTAGTGTCGTTCTTTACCAACGTGCCAGTTCCCTCGGCTGTCTGCGCTGCCCGTTCTGCGCTTGAGGAGGACGCAAGCCTGAGTGAAAGGACTCCTTTGGTGGATGACGAGCTCTGTCGTCTACTGGAGTTCTGCCTCTTCAGCACGTACTTCTCTTACAAAAGAACTATTTTTAGGCAGAACAGAGGAACCTCAATGGAAGCTTCCATCTCCGTCACGATGGCAAACTTGACCATGGAGTACATAGAAGAAAAAGCATTCAGCTCCTTCTCGCCGAGACCCAAGCTTTTTCTGCGTTATATGGACTATTGTTTTTGCGTCATTAAGACGTCTGAAGTTGAAAACTTCAGACAACACCTGAGTTCCGTGCACCCAGCCATACAAATCACGACCGAGTGTGAGAGCGACCACTGCCTGCCCTTTATTGACGTCTAGGTGGCAATAAAGCGCAACGGCCTGGAGTTCTCCGTTCATAGGAGGCCAACGCACACTGGCCGCTAACTTCAATTCTATTCTTCCCACCCCGCCTTCCACAAGGCCTTGGTTGTGACCATGCTACTCGAGAGAGCCAGGAACTTATGCTCTAATAACACAAAGCGAAAGAAAGAAGAAGCCCGCGTAATTGCTGACCTCAGAAAAAACGGATATCCAAAAAACTTCATTCGAGCCGCCACCCAGCGCGCAGAGCAACAGAGGATTAGGAAACCCCCTTCAACCTTAATTGGTAGCCCCCCGAAACGCGTACCAATTCTATACGTTCACGGAAACAGCGAGCCGCTGGCGCGGATCTTCAAGAGGGAGGGGGTTCGCATAGTGCACGTGCCTTCGTGTACGCTGGGCCGCCTCCTCCACCGCCCGAAAGACCGGCCAACAATGAACAGGAGCGCCGGTGTAGTTTACAAAATTCCGTGCGCCGACGACGTCATGCTATCTTCGTAAACAAGGGCTCGAGGTGTCCTGCGGAAAATGTACAGTGGTAGCGTTCACGTGGAAACCAATGTCTGCTTACAGTATATCGAATAATGAGAATACATATCGTTCAGCAGAAGCCACAGGTTCTTGGGAGTCATAATAGATAGAAACCTGTCGTGGACTCCACACGTGAACTATGTGAAGAAGCGGCTGATCGCAACATGCCACATGTTCAAATTCCTTACAGGAAAGAATTGGGGAGTGCCCACACCATCCATGCTACAACACTACAGAATGCTGTTTATCGGATTCTTACGGTACAGCTTACCTGCAATGTCTAACACCGGCAAGACCAACCTGCGTGCAATTCAGAGCATTCAAGCCCAAGCACTTAAGATATGCCTTGGAGTACCCCGCAGTGCTTCAACGGCTGAAACCATTGCCATCACTCAAGATCACTCAATAAATACGCATATTATTACCGAGACAATGCGCATGCACCTCAGGCATTATGCCAGGACCCCTTCTCACCACCTGGCGAGCCTAGCTGCTGAAAGGCCCCGCACGACATATGGCACTATTGTCTCCAACCATCGTTCATCGTTTGCTGAGACATACGCACCTGCATCAAAGCCACTGCTTCCTCCTTGGAGCTTGGGCCGGCCACGAGTTCACCTAATGATTCCAGGAATGAGGAGAAAATCGGACTTACCGACACGCCCTGAAACAACTGAGTCTATTCCTACTGGAAGAAAACTACAGTAACCACGTGCACATTTACACGGATGGTTCTACTACGCCGTCTAGTTCAGGTGGAGCAGTGGTCATACCATCACAAGGGGTAACTCGGTGTTTTAAGAGTTCACATGTGACAAGTTCAACGACGGCAGAACTCGAGGCTCTGCGCAATGCACTGGAACACATCAATTCAGAAGAAAGACCAGGTAAATGGGCTGTGTTTCTGACTCAAAACCAGCAATACAGTGGCTGATATCAGTTCTCCGACGCGGATGCCACGACCAATCGACCTACCAAACCGTGCAACTTCACCACCTGTTAATACAAAAAGGCCATGACATCGTCTTTCAGTGGTTACCTGGGCATAGTGGTATAGGCGGCAATGATTCTGCAGATCACGCTGCTCGCACGTCACATAAAGAAGCGAACAGCATTCCGATACCGCTTTCAAGAGCGGATGTGGCGAGGCAGATTCGCCAACTGGCCCGCAGTCTCACACTGACTGAGCGGAACACACCAAGCATACGACGTACACGACTACACGAGCTCGACCCTACACTACAACTCCGGCCTCCACCCGGCCTACATCGACGTGAAGCTTCGCTTCTCTATCGCCTTTGGCTGGGAGTTGCTTTCACGAAAGCTTATACCACGTTAATCAGACTTACTGACAGTGCGGCGTGCGATGTTTGCGGCGCCGACGAAAATATCGAACACCTGCTGTGTCATTGTCCTCGATTTGCCTCAGATAGACAAGTACTTGCCAACGCAAGGCGGCGACTGGATGATCGGCCTCTTTCTGTGCAGGTGCTATTACAGCATCGTACACATGCCTCGACAGCCCAGAAGGCAGTGAAAGCCCTGCTGCGTTTCCTGAGAAAGACAGGCTTGTGGGAACGCCTCTGACATGCGGTAGAGTTCTACACGCTGCAGTGAAATTACTGTCAGTCTCTCCACCACCCCCTTTTTTCCTTTTTCCCTCTTTCTCGTCTTTCTTGTCCCCTTCCTTAATCCCCCAGTGTAGGGTATCCAACCGGATGTCTTTCTGGTTAACCTCCCTGC